TTTTTTAATTATTCTATTGGTTTTATATTTTAAAAGTATTTATTTGGCTCTTGAACCAAATCTGCAAGGAGACTATATTATCACACTGTGGATACATTGATATGTTCTCAATATGAGGCTCACTAAACCTGAAACTGCTGCTTAAAATCCTAAAGCAGACCCGTTGCTCTATACTCCTTCTCTAAATTTACTAGTCTAATGAAACCTGCTTTTGATGAGTTTCCTGTAATAAAATGAGTGGCAGGCTTGACCCGTACATGTTGTTGTTATGGTGTTAAGTACCTTTGAGTTGGTTCTGACTAATAGAGACACTATGTAGACCACAGCAAAATACTGATCCTGTGCATTCTTCACAATCTTTGCTATGTTTAAAGCCTTTGTTGCAGACACTGTGTCAATCGATCTCATTAAGGTTCCTTTTTACTGGCCCTTTACCAAAAATGAGCTCCAGGGAATGGTCCCTCCAGATAATATGTGTAAAGCAATTTGAAAACAAAGCCTCACTATCATTGCTTCAAAGGAGCATACTTGTACATCTTCCAAGACAGATCTGTTCACTCTTTTGGCAGTTGACTCAACAGTAATGGATTTCTATCAATACATGGTGATTGGTATTTCATTACAGCTATCCTAATTATGCATATGAATTTCATTTGTGTCAAAATATATAAGGTTAAAAACGACATATTTTCCAATTTGCCACAGTTCTTTTAATAAACTACTCTTGATCCAACTTAAATCTTGTCTATACCATGTGGTCCAAACCTACTTTGTGGTCCAGTGCTTATCCTGCACCATCACACCAGGACTCCCATACCCAATTATGAATTTTCACATAATTCTTTTCCATTTAACATTGTTTTCTTAATATAGAATGAATCAGTTACAAAATGAATAAATAATTTAATGTGGGAAAAGTTTCATATAAATAAATATTGTTTTAAAAAAGTAGGTGGGTAGGCATGCCTTATATAAATAATTTTGCTTCTTTAGTGACGTTTTTCTCTTATGGAAATGAAAAAGGAAGGAAGGAATGGAAAAGGGAAGGCAGGAAGAATTAAATAATTCTTTATCTTCAAATGAAATATTCAGTGTTTAGTTGAGAACATGTGTTTAAATAAATCAGTTTTTCTGTTTCTTTTTAAAATATGCAACTGATTGTTTAACAGCAGATATACATAAAGCTATAATGAAGGGCTGAGGCTTTTTTTCAGTTATAAAAGTAGTTATGCAGTACCTGAATGGTGCATATTGTGGGCACTTGTCCCATGTTCCAAATTTCCATTCTCTCTATGCTTATAATCCTAAAATAAAATGATCCCCATAGCTTGGCATTGCTAAAACACTTTTATGACATAATAATTTACAATATTTAAAATGTTCAAATCTCACCTTATTTTATGTTCAAAATAAAACTGAAATGGAAAATATCAATTAGATAATATAAATAGCAGTTTTTGAGATTGTTAGTAGGGATATATCAGTTTGCAATAAAGATAGCAAAAAACAATTAGGATATTAAAAAGATTTGTTTCTTATACCACCATGTTTGTTGATATTATTTTCTTTTTCAGGTGGGTCACTGAAATTTTGTGAAATTTTAATAACAAATTACATATGCAAAATATAAACCTCATTAAAATGAGAGAAAAAATGAAGAGTTCATAGACATTCTTCATAATTGAATTAATAGCATGTTTTCATATTTGCTTAACATAGGAAGGTATTAGTGATCAAGAGCAAAATAGCCCATTTCTCATTGTACCTATCATAAGTCAATATAATTACCCTTTTCAATTCTTATGAGTGTTTTACAATAATGTTTTTTTAAAATGTAGAATGCCACTGTCTATCTGTGGAATGAGAATACAGGAGAAATTTACATCAGCAAATTAAAATGCTTTCATCTTTGAATTTCTGTATGCTAGTGTGTTTGCTGCCTATGTTTTTTGCCTCCTATATGCCACAATGATAAGGCAATAGCTCATAATCTGGCCCAACATATTTGTCATACAAAATACTCTAAATATTTGAATAACCATTTGATTGTTGTTTTTATAGGTAGGTTATAATATTTATGCTATTTACATACTTGTTTGAGTCTTTTTTTCCCTTTTATTTTCACTGTTGAGTATGTTAATACAAATCAACTGAGTAAGAATAAAAATGTTCTATTTGTCTAGGATTATTCACTGATGTCTTTCAGAATAGAGATGTTTTTGAGATATGTTTTTTTTTTCTGCTGAGATCTCAATTTGACTTCACTGTTGACTTGGTGGTGTCCCGGTTTCTCCAGGGTGCAAAGTGATTGATACAAGTATTCTGCTTATACAGTCATCCTAAGCGACTCAGTGTGTCAAGTTGGATACTTTGCTTTTGCTTGTCGTAGCAGAGCTGGCAGCAGTGGAAGCAGTAGCCTGACTGCCTATAAACAGAGGGTCCAAACAAGCTACTTTGGCAGCAAAGAATGAATGTATGCAGTGAAGTACGGCAAATAAATTAGAAAATTCCAACTCCTGAAAGGGAAAGAGAAACAGGTTTCATTATTTCTATTTCTTGAAATAACAATAACATTTGTATATTCTTTCAAGTGCAGCAAGCTTATATAGAATCACAGATATCTAATGTATAGCTACTGTAGATATTTATGTTCAATAAGTAAATTTCACATGCATTGCAGACTGACACCAAAACACGGTGGGTTAAGGGATAAGTGGTAGTTGTGTGCCACCAAGTTGTTTCTAATATATTGTTGTTGTTGTTAAGTGTCATCAAGTCGGTTCCCACTCATAATGACCCTTTATAGGGTTTCTGAGGAGCTGCTGGTGAAATTGAACCTTCGATCTTGCAGTTCACATAGAGCGTGCAGTCAGGTGCATTAATCCACAGCACAACACCACGACTCCAATTCACAGGGACCCATATAGTGTTTCCTAGGTTGTAAGTCTTTATGGGAGCAAAAAGTGTCATCTTTCCCCTGCAGAGTGACTGGTAAATTTGAACTACTCACCTTGCAGTTAGCATCTCAACTCATAATCCATTATGGCTACCAGGGTTTAAGGGATAAGGGTCTAGTGTAATTTCCATCCTGGAGAGGTATTTCAGTATTCATAAATGTTATATATAAATTTTTCAATTGTGTGGATCATGACAAGCTATGGACAACATTGCAAAGTGTGAGTATTCAGGAACACTTAATTGTGCTCATGAGGAATCTGTACCTGGACCAAGAAGCAGTTGTTTGAACAGAACATGGGAACACTGAATGGTATAAAATTAGAAAAGGTGTGTGGTAGGTTGTTTTCTTTCACCATACTTATTCAACCTGTATGCTGAGCAAATAAACTGAGAAGCTGGGTTATATGAAGAAAAACGTGGCATCAAGATTGGAGAAAGACTCCTTTACAATCTGCCATATGCAGATGATATAACCTTGCTTGCTGAAAGTGAAGAGGACTTAAAACATTTACTGATGAAGAGCAAAGACCACAGTCTTTGGTATGGATTACATCTCAATGTAAGGGAAAAAAAAAAAAAAAAAACCCTCACCACTGGACCAATAAACAACATTCTTCTCAAAGAGAAAAGATTGAAGTTATCAAGGACTTCATTCTTCTTGGATCAACTATCAACACTCATAGAAGCAGCAGTCAAGAAATCAAATGATATATTGCATTAGGCAAATCTGCTGCACAAGACCTTTTTAAAGTGTTGAATAGCAAAGATAACATCTTAAGGACTAAAGTGCGCCTGAACCAAGCCATGGTATTTTCAATAAACTCACAGGCATGCGAAAGCTGGACATTGAATAAGGAAGACCATAGAAGAATTGATGCTTTTGAGTTGTGGTGTTGGAGGAGAATATTGAAAGTACCATGGGCTACCAAAAGAACCATTAGGTCCATTTTCGAAGAAGTGCATCCAGAGTGCTCCTTGGAGGCCAACACGTCCATACTTCGTCTCTCATACTTTGGACATATTGTCAGGAGGGACCAATCACTGGGGAAGGATATCATGTTTGGTAAGGTGGAGGGTCAGAGAAAAAGAGGAAGACCCCCAATGAGCTGGACTGGCCAAGTGGCAGCATCAATGGACTCAAGTGTGGCAACAGTAGTGAGGTTGGCCCAGGATCAGGCAGTGTTTTGTTCTGCTGTGCATAAGGTCGCTATGGGTTGGTACCAACTCAATGGCACCTAACAACAACAATATATAAACTTATTTTGACTAATTAAATCTTGGGGATCACGGTGGCTCTATATAATAAGCACTGGATTTGGAAGTAGGTTTGTGGTTTAAACCTTCAGACACTCAAAAGGAGAAAGATGAAATGAAGCTTTCTGCTTCTGCAATGATTTTTAAAAGAAAAAAGAAAAACAAACAAAAAACCCGTCTAAGAAATCCTATCCAACATCATTCTCAGAACTGAGTGGATGGCACTTAACAACATTTAAAATTTTACTCTCAATAATATAAAAACTGAGAATATTTTAAAGTATTTTATCTCTTTATTCACATGTAAATGATAAATGTGGATTACAATGATTAAAATCAGTATTTTTTAGTGTCCTCTAGAATAATTTATAATATACCATGGAAAAGTGACTATGAAATACTGAAAGTAAGGGGGACAGATGTTATGATGCTTAAGAGGTTTTGTTTCAACTTGACTGGTCCAGGATTCTCAGTGGTATGTCAGTTGAGATGTATTATACCAATAATGAAATCTAATATAATGTCATAAATTCTACTGTGAAGTCTGCTATGAGCAGTCAATAAATTTAAAGTAGGTTTCATTGGGGGTGGGACCTACTTCCAACATAATAGACACTCAGTGGAAAGCTTGCTTGTTCTCTGCGGGGTTTGAATCTTTTATCTGGCTCATCTTCTGACCTCCATTTCTTTGTTACTTGAGCCAGTGACCTGCTGTGTTACCTGTCATCTGGGGACTTCTCAGCTGTCTGCCTTCTTACCTGCTTGTCTGCCTATCTGCCTGATTTTGCTTCTCTAGAGAATCTAGCCTAAGACAGATGTCATGGCAGCAGAAGTCACATGGTCCAGTTCCAAAAATAAATAAAATGTTATTTTAATCTTTGTATCTGGGTATTTCATGGTGTCAATGTTATATTTACTAAAAGAAAATAAAAATCATCTAGAGCCCACTGATTCATTTTGGATTTTTAGAAATATGCTTCCTACTTGAACAGTAAGGAAATTAGTAGCCCACCTATTAAAGAAAATCAGCTGAAAATATAAAGAATATGTTGTTAAGTGCCTTTGAGTCAGTTCTGACTCATAGAGACCTTGTACAGGGTTTCCAAGGAGTTACTGGTGGGTTTGAACTGCCTACATTGTGGTGAACAGTCCAGCACTTATCTTACAGTACCACACCAGGACTCCTAAAGAATATGTGGTGGGAAGCAGATAAAAAACTCTCCTCCAAACCAAAAATAATTTCAGCAGTGCTCACAATAGTTTTTAAAAGACGATGTTGCCAATATTTTGGAAATACTATCAATATTTCCAAAAAATATTTTAATTATCAGACATATTAGAGAATGCCAATACATTCATGTGTTTAGTAAACTTACAAAGAGAATGGCTAGCAAGTAATAAACTTCTGATGACAGATGCTTTTTCTGTCTGTCATTTAGGATGATATGCAATAGGGAGTGCAGAGTAAGAATCACTGTGCACACTATTGAGAGTTTTAGCAATTGCAGTGTATGACTGTAGCAAATAAGACAAAGTATCCACTCTACTGGGATGGCACTGTATGATCAACAATGGACTGTGAACCATGAGATCGGCAATTCTGCTCCTCAGAAACACTATGAGTTGGAACTGACTCGATGGCACTTAACAACAACAATTAATCCACTCAACTAGAAAATAAGGTGGCATAGTGGATTACATGTTGAACTGATCATTTCAAGGTCAAACAGTTTGAATCCATCAGTTGGTCACAGAAGAAAGAGACTTTGTTGTTGTTGTGCCATCCAGTCGATTCCGACCCATAACGACCTTTGTATAGGGTTTCCAAGGAGCAGCTGGTGAGCTTGAACCACCGACCTTGCAGTTCAAATGACTGCAGTCTGATGCATTAGTCCACAGTACCACACCAGGACTCAGAAAGAGACTTAAGGCTCCCATAAAGATTGACAACCTTGGAAATCCTACATGGGGTAGCTATGAGTAGGAATCAATCAACTCGATGGCAATTGGATCATATACCATGGAATGTGTTTTGTTGTTTGTTTTTTTTTAATTCTCCGAGGAGTATTTTTTTCAGGTTAGGCAATGGTAACATAAAGAGGATAGCTCAAATTCACAGGACTTTAAACAGTGATGACATAGCTAGTTCTTTCAATTATTCCCTTGAAAGCTTCAGCATTTTATAACCACCTTCTCATGGCATGGAATTCCTGGGTGATGCAGAGGCTTATACACTCAGTTACTAACCAAAATTTTGGAGGCTCAAGTACAAACAGAGGCATCTGGAAAGAATAAACTGGTGATCCGCTTCCAAAAACTCAGTCATTAAAAACTCTTGGAAGCACAGTTCTACTCTTATGCAGATGGGATCACCATGAAGCAGAGTCAATGATATGACAGCTTTTGCCTGTCTTTGTTTTTGTTTTTTTTAATTTTCCCCCTATGGCAAAAAGTTCTATAAAAAGCTGTCTATTGAATTCTAGTGTGCACTGTAGGATTAGTACTGGACTTCAAACCACAAGGTTGGCAGTTCAAACCTATCAGCTGCTCCTTGGAAACACTACATAGGGTGGCTGTGACTTGAAATCAACTCAGCGGCACTTAACACAAATATTTAATTCTAAGTATCTAATTCCCTGAAATACTCACACAACATTTTTTTTCATTACACCATCATAATTATTTCAGAAGCTTCATTTTAAAACAATCCACTTGACCAGCACTAGTGATAAATTACTGGTAAACTTGATAGGTTTTCCCTTACATTAACTAGCCCCAAGATAATCTATTCACCCCTTCGTTCTCTGTGCAGCCATTTTATTTTATAAGGAGATAATGAATACTTTCTGTGCTAAGTCATACTTTTCACAAGATAAGGAAGGGTAGAAAAATTTGGAACAATATGAGATTTGCTGTGTGTTTTTTAAAATTGCAATATGCTCTTTTGTTAATTATATTTATTTTCTTCTTGTTGAAAACATACATGAATTCAACAGTTTCTACATGTAAAATTGATTGATGATGATTATAGTCTTCAAGTTTTACAACCATTTTCACACTCTTTTTCTGAGTTGTTTCTCCATTATTAACATAAATTGATGACAGCACCTCAGAAAGACGTGATAGGCGTTCCTATCAAATCTGAGGTGCTATCATCAATTTGATCCAATATGTTGCTGTTGTCATTAAGTGCTGCTGAGTCGGTTACAACCGATAGTGACCCTGTAGAGGGTTTCCGAAGAGCAGCTGGTGAGCTTGAACTGCCCACCTTGCAGTTTACATGGCTTTGCATAGAAAGCTCTTA